CATGATACCCATTGACGTTAAATTGAATATTGTATCAATTAAAAGCCAAGACTTGAATATCCTAATATAATTATGTAAAATTATGATTAAGAACGTGATTTTATTATTTTGAATAAGCGTACTTTGGTTTCTTTCAAGTTAAACCTCTTCGTAAATTAAAATAAAAATAACCTGTGGATCACAATTTCACCCATTTTATAGATAGATTGATGATATTTTTGCACAGAAGGACCGGCATTTTGTAAAGAAATACCCATGGAAGTTTCTGCAAATATAATTTCTGGTTATATAAATGTCTAATTGCTGGTAGTAATATTTTAATTATAACAGTTTTATATTGTTACGCAAGTGATATTCAATTTATTTCACGCGATAAAGGTGAGACACAGGAAAATATGAGGTACAACAAATTTGAGCCCAAAAATTCTCAGTAAAACATTATATATTCTACCATCTCCCTTTTTAACGATAAAACATACCAATTCATTAAATTAAAAATATTAATAAATATTATTATATGACAAACGTTTAATTGACTGGAAGCTTCACACCAAGAGACGTGAATTTTTTCAATAAGAAATAAGATATATATTATATACGAAATTAAAGATGTATACCGCATATTGCATTTAATGTATGATGACTGGTGAAAAGTAGCAAATCGTCAATAATTGACTCTTCTCTATCATTGAAAGACTCCACTGCACGATTGCCCTCCTCGATCAAGACTTCAACGAATTGTTTCAATATAGAAAAGTGAAATGCAGGTGTTAGTATTTTTCGTCTTTTTTGCCACTTCATTCCTATGGAATAGATTAGTTGTTATTTCACACACACACACACATACACACACACGCGCGCGCGCGCGCGCACACACGCACAGGCACACGCACACATATGTATATATATGAATATTATTTTCAGTCATTTTAATATCATGTTAAACGTACAAAGAAAACAGACTTTCTCATAATCTGTAGCGGATTGTTTTCTCAAAGATTATCGAAAATAGCGACAATGACTTAGACAATAATTATCGCATATCGAAGTTGAATCATGCTTTCTTAATTCTATTGTATAATACCTTTGCTAGTGATAAGGCCCTCGCCTAGCCAAGGATGTACAAGTTTATATTGAAAACCTTTCATAATGTGCTTTGTGCTGCTTAATATTTGCTAAAAAAATATAGCCGACATAGAATTAAAGATCACGTTGTTATTAAATCAAATTTAAAAAAGGAATATAACATGCTGGGATATATATATATATATACGATTCTGAATAGAAGTTATAGACTTCATCAACTTTAGTTATCATTAAAGCGCTTTTAGCCTTTGGAAGCAAAAAAAATAAGCTTGAAAATTTTTCATATCTTAATTACCCGGCAGATTAATTTAAAACTTGGTACATTTATTGTATATACCTTATTTTTATTATATTAATTTATAAATGTTAATTAGTTTATACATTATGAAATTAATAAATAGGTAACGAAAAAACCTGTTTTGCGACGTGCAATATTATTCAAAACTGTAAAGAGTAAAAATCGAAAATTTGATAATTTCAAAGACAAAAGACCTTTTAATGATAATGTTATACGACGAATAAGATAAATTTATCTTCTACAATAATTCCTTTACCTCTGTATCGTCCGGGTGGTAAATGAAAACGTTTGGAATTGTAAAAACCCA